ACTCAATTTTTCATGCCTAGAAATACGTGTTTGGTAAATTACCATTTTGCCCTTGGTACGTATTCTGACCCTAATTTCAGAATTTTCATTAATCCTACCCTTTTAACCCACATTATCACATAACAATATATATTTAGAATTATGAGGTGTTATATTACAAGGTACATAATAACCAATGAGTGGCACATATAAGGACCAACAATGCCTTGGGGCACTTACAACCCAACTCAGTTTATAGTTATTACACAATTCATACCATATTGCTCACTTTATTTTTCCTTAACTTATTTCAATCACCAATGTCCATTTACATGCATTTTCTAAACATAATCATAATCTTAAAATAGGCCTATTGCCCTTTCATCGTATTACGCATGCTTCAAATTACACAAGGTCCAAATACAATCTTTACAATTATCCATTTACAACATAATTCATAAATCTCCAAATGCTATAAAATACTTGTATCTAGACTTAGGCAAAATAGCATGAAAAAATATGAACATAAACTCATCCTATAATAAATACCATGTTCATGCCCTAAATCTAGTCTAGGCCCAATGGCCATCAAAATGCAAAAGCATAAAGTCCTCCCACGACTCATCCTACGAGCTTCTTGCCCGCCGCTCCTGTGCCACTGCTACCTTCTGAAATAATGCCCCCAAGACGGGGTGAGATATACGAATATATCTTAGTAACCCAGAGGTTCTGGAGAATACTACGCCCAATGGCTCACTTCGATGCATATAAATAATATAAAACATCTTGAAAAACGGGATAAAGCAATGGATTTAGAGAAACTAGGGATCATAGGAATATAAAATACGACGAAGCTGGAATGGTAGCTACCAATACCACGCAACTCCCTGCCTAATGGCTTGGCATATAAGCCTACGGGTCTCATCCAAGGCGTGTTCCAAGAACATCCAACCAAGGTACCCCTCCCATCCACATACACCCGAGACTTCCTAGTGTGCTCCTATTCGGATCACACACCACGACCCTAGGTCAACTGGAACTCCTTCTCGGAGACCTATCCAGTGGAAGTCCGAAATGCCCGAAGGCAAACTGTCTATTGGCCAGAGACTCGGTACATCTAGTGTACCACTAACATACATAATAAATGCATGATCATGTTATTCTACACTACTCATATACATTTCCTACCATCACTCTCAACGGGTATGGTGGAACACACAAGGGGAACAAGCCTCAGTACCAAGAGGTTACCTTAATAAGCCTCTCCACTTAGCTCGAAAGCAGTATATTCTCTGAGCTCGTTACTCAACAGAAATGCCTACACAGAGGACATTCCCAATCACTGAAAACTCATACGAACATATGCAAGTTAACAATTATTCAAGCATTGTTCCAATCACTTACCTCAATCCCACATGGTCCAAGACCATTGGTAATCCACCGACTCACGGTTCGGGATTCAACTCAACGTACGGCAACCTACAAAAACCATGTACGAACAATCAATACACGACAATTCTATCAAATTACGAAAACGTCAAAAATCCTCCCCTACACCATGGGGACCCCTTAGTGCCTTGAGATATGTAAAATAAGTTATAAAAGTAGTTTAAATAATTATTCCGCAAAGAGTTTACAGTTACGGTCACAACTTTTATTTATTACGCTTTTATTGTTTTAAACGTTCGCATAATAAACAAAAAAATTTACTCGCATTTTTATAAATGAATTGTTGTGATTGTAACTGCGTTTAATATCATAATTAATGTTAACAATACCGGTGTACAACGGGTTGTTACACACACACAGATATATATATATATATATATATATATATATATATATATATATAGGATCCTTTGAGACCGGTGTCAAATAAAAAATTTGACACCTTATCTGAGAATTGTTAATCTTGCCTTGATGTAATGACTATAATTTATAAGCATGTGACACCGTTGATCTGCTATGATCTAACTGCTCTCAGATGAGGTGTCAAAAGATCCTACCCATACATACACACACACACATATATATATATATATATATATATATATATATATATTAAATAAGCAATAACAAAATCCATGATATTTCATTTAAAAAATCAATAATAAAATCCATTAGTCGTATTTGGAATCCTTCAAGGATTTATATATGTCGTTACTCAATGATCCATTAAATATGTTATCACTACACCATTAGATGTATGTCAAGTCCTTTACAGACTATCAAACTAATTAAAAAAATCTAAAAGTTATTGCATTCATAATAGGGAAATATGCCTCTTTTATATAACTTGACTTTGTGAGACATCAGGTGCTATAAGCTAATCATGTCTTATATTTCATGAATTTCATTTAACTTATCATCCCTTTTTGGACTATTGGTCCTAATATTCTTTATCCTTGGATAATGAATCCAACAAAACTTGTATGGCTTCATTATATTTTAGTCAATTAGCTGGATGTCGACATTTTTGTGTAGTTTGAGGTTCAAATATAAAGCAATTATATTTGCAAAAACATAATCAACATTAACTTCATATCTTTATATTTTTAGGTTTTAAGGAGATCTCATAACTTTTCAGTACTGAGACTTCATGGTAGTAAGTAGGGGTGTAAATGGGCCAAGCTGGCCTGGCCTAGCCTACAGTCCGACCTACGTTGAGCCTGACCTAGCCCGGCCTACGTTGAAAAGTAGAGTAGGTTTAGGCTTATAAGAAAGCCTTTTTTAACAAGTAGGCCATAGGCCAATTTTGTCAAGCCTGACCTAAAGCCTCGTAGGCTGGCCTATTTAATTTTTAAAAATAAAATAAAATAAAATATTATTTTAGGGTATATGATATACATTATAGAGCTGGGGTATTATGTTGACTCTTTCTTGTTTGTCATTTTTTATGAATTATGAGAAGTACTAGTGCATGCATGAATGTAACTTTGCTTAGTATATTTTTATAGTTATTTACTATTATAAAGTTTTTAATGCTCACTAATGAAATTTATATCTCGTGTAAAAAAATGCAGCAATTTATGAACACGTTAATGACTTGTAATGTCAAGCGAATATTTTAAAAATTGTTAAAAATATTTTTAAAAATATTTCACTAGGGAGGCCTACAAGGCCTGTAGGCTATATAAGGCTCTCTAATTATTAAAAATAGGTCAGGCTTGACCTATAAATAAAATCTTTAGTAGACCAATAGGTTAGATATGCTGAATATTTTTTTACGTAGGCTTAGGCTAGGAAGGTCAAAGCCCAGCCCAGCCCATTTACACCCCTAGTAGTAAGTTATAAGGAAGGTATGATATAATTATGTAGCGTAAAGTTATCCGCACAAAGTATGAGTTATATTTACAGTATATGAGTTGTTTAATTACGGAAGTGTTTTTAAAAGGGAGAATGTTTATTAACAGAAAAGAAAAAGTTTATCCGTAATTAAATTTAACTGTTGTAATTGTAACTGCACTTAATATCATACATAATGGTAACAAATCGATAATAAACGGGATGTTTCAAATATTTACATGATGGTTTATATTTTAAAATTTTTATTATAATTCTGAATCTCATGATTCGATACTATTGAACAATACACTATACGTATTGTTTAGGGTTTTTCCGAAATTTGGATTTTGATACAGAAACTATATTTTTTAGGATTTCCTTGGAGACGGTTGGGAGAACAATGGCCTTGGCATATATAAAAAATATATATGAAAAAACTACTCTTATGTTACATGTGACAATTTTCTCTCCTAACACCCTTCGATAACTGTGTCACCTTTTTCTTTTCTTTTTATTTTTCAGATGGAGAGCTTACAAATTTATCTCTATGACATGATATAACTTATCTCCTTAACATGAGATTAATAAAACTCAATATATATATATATATATATATATATATATATATATATATATATATATATATATAAGTTTCGCAAAAGAAAAATTACAATTATTAATTGCATCGGGTATTAGATAAATGGACAACCATAAAAAGAAGGGAAAAGTGTATGTCTTGACACAATTTGTGTCATTTCATTCTCACAAAGAAATGAATGAGATCCACACCTTTATTTTCTTTAGAATCGATCCTTCAAGCATCATTGACCAACTCCTTATCAATTTTGATTCATTTCAATATGAATAACAATTCAACGTATTAAATTAACTAAAAAATATAACAAGTCTGGAACAAAAGAATATATCAGCAGTCAATCAAAACAACGATTTTCTACACAAACAAACGCCCTCATGTGGAAAAGTGGTCATGTGATTATGTTATTTGATCACAACCACTCTTTTAAAAATTATACATTTTCTCTCTCTAATTTCATCATCAATGAGTGGTTGTAATCAAATAATATAACCGTATGATCACTTTTTCACATGAGATGATCCACTCCAATTTTTATTTTGTCCTCTCTCCTATGATTTATCTTTTTCTCTCACTTAAAATGACATAATTTTATATCCTTTAAAATGATATACACTTTTTCCAAAAATAAAAATAAAAATAGCAACAGCTTTTGAAATACGTTATTTTATTTTAAAAAAAAAATCAAATTTAATTCTGAAGGTATCATGAAATTTTATTTTTTTTTATTTTTTTTTGTGGGTGAGTTCAAGTTGAATCATTATCCCTTTTATTCCATTTTTTTGTATGGAGGGGCTGCAATGCAAGTTGTGAATCAAAATACCCAGTTGTATATATATGTTTTCTATTTCTCAAATTTCAACCAATAAAGCTTTCACCACATCAATGAATGCCATTTTTTTCACCACCTTCCTATATTAGCATTTGCCAAACCTTTACTTAAGGTGACACCGCACCCTCTTTCCTTCACAGCATCACACAATTTCTTCCATCTCAACATACCTTCTTCTCCTCCTCCTCCTTCCACTCTCCTGCATTTGCATTGTTGCTGCTTCTTCTGCACCCATCAATCTCCATTATTCCCCAGCCATATTTGCAGAAGCAGCACAACAACCACGTTCACAGGGTGATTCATATTCCAATGGGGTTTCATAATCGAGAAAGCTCCTCCTATTCATGTTCCTTAGGAGAAAACACACCTCTTCTTTCCAAGGCACCCCCACTTTCTTCAAAATTCAAGACCTTTGCCAACATCTTCATATCCATTGTAGGTGCTGGTGTCCTTGGCCTCCCTTATAGCTTCAAGAAAACAGGTTGGGTCATGGGGTTGCTCATGCTCTTCACGGTTGCATTCCTCACTTATTACTGCATGATGCTCCTTGTCCACACTCGTCGCAAGCTTGAATCCTTCATGGGGTTTGGCAAAATTAATTCTTTTGGCGATTTGGGATATGCCATTTGTGGCCCTGTTGGTAAATTCTCCGTTGATGCTATGATCGTGCTTTCTCAATGTGGTTTCTGTGTCAGCTACCTTATTTTCATTTCTACTACTTTGGCATATCTTGTTAGTGACACGAGTTCAGCATTGGTTTTGGGTTTGTCGCCAAAGGTCTTGTTTCTTTGGGGTTGCTTTCCTATTCAATTGGGATTGAATGCAATTCCAACTTTGACCCATTTGGCTCCTTTGAGCATATTTGCTGATGCGGTTGACATAGCAGCTAAGGTTGCGGTAATGGCTGAGGATGTGTCTGTCTTTTTGAAGAACAGGCCTCCTTTGAAGACTTTTGGGGGTTTGTCTGTGTTTTTCTATGGTATAGGTGTGGCTGTGTATGCGTTTGAAGGAATAGGAATGGTTTTGCCATTAGAATCTGAAGCTAAGGATAAGGACAAATTTGGTGGGGTTTTGGGCTTGGGGATGATGCTCATTTCTCTGTTGTATGGTGCATTTGGTGCTTTGGGATACTTTGCTTTTGGTGAAGAAACTCAAGGGATTATCACTACCAATCTAGGACAAGGAATGATAAGTGTTCTGGTGCAATTGGGTCTTTGTATCAACCTGCTCTCTACTTTTCCTTTGATGATGAATCCTGTTTATGAGGTGGTTGAGAGACGGTTATGTAACTATAAGTACTGCTTGTGGCTGAGGTGGTTGTTGGTTTTGGGAGTAAGCTTGGTAGCACTTTTTGTGCCTAATTTTGCAGATTTTTTGTCACTGGTTGGTAGTAGCATATGTGTTATTCTTAGCTTTGTATTTCCTGCTATGTTTCACTATTTGGTGTTCAAAGAGGAGTTGGGTTGGAGCTGTATGGTATGGGATGGGGCAATTGTGGTGTTTGGGTTTGTTATTGTAGTTACAGGAACCTGGTCTTCCCTAAGGGATATTCTTGAGGCTTGATAGGACCATAAAATCTCTTCTTTTACCAATTACATTAATCATGTGCTTGATAGATGGAGGTTTTTTTCATGGGGCAATCGAGGTTTCTGGGTTAATTGTTGCAGAATTGCAATTAGCAAAAGTGGGTCATCCCAGATGATCTTCCCCCAAGCCTGATTGAGTTATTAATTAGATTTGATGCTGTTCACAATTGTAGTGTTTGGTAAAATAGATGATCATGATTCACAATAAACCAACCTATTATTTCTTTTGTTGCATCCAATTGTTTTTGTTGTAACAATTGTAGCACTACAATGTTAGTATTAAAGAAAAAGATATACTATCTGCCTCAACTTTAATGCTTGAGAAATATTCCTTTCAATTACTTCCTTCCCTTCAGTTTGTCTTTTTGTACAATCTATATAACATTGTATCTATATCATGGATGCATTTGCAAATTGGGATCAAAGAGACCCTCAAGCGTTTAACACGTTTACATTGTGTACCTACATTTATACGGTGCTCGACTGCTACCTTTTCCCCTGATAAAATTTCAATGGATTGAATCATGGCTGTTTGATATATCCAGGGTTCAGCGCATCCGACAATTCTCTTAATAGGATGTGGTTGGCAAAATATTTGCCAATGACAACTCAAAGTCGAACCCAGTGACACCTTTCTTACATGTTTAATTTAAATAAAAAGAATATCGGTGTTGCGATTATGGCAAATATACCAGTCGTACAAGTAATAAAGAGAATGAGTAAAGTATAGTTCCTACGAAGATTGTCTATCAAGCAATAATTTATTTATACTATCAAAGTTGGATTGGTCTTAAGTGTTTTTCTTGAATATGATTTAATTATAAAACTGAATTTTAAACTAACAAGAACAATAATCAAGAACCAAGAATCAAGAATGGTTTGAAATCAAATAATGCAAGCGTAGCTAGGGTATTGATTTGTCTAACATCTTCCTAATGAATCTACCATTTCCTATAATAAATATTCAATTCATGTTATTGAGAATTATTTCAAGATTGATTAAACTTCAATCCCTTGGTGATTCAATCATTTACCATATTCAAAACCCTAATCTCTTAGTGATCTCTCTTAATGCAAAAATTAAAAGTCATAGGATTCGTAAGTCTATTCCTAAATCATACAAAACCTAGCAATTAATTGATCAGAATCCTGGACTAAATCTCTATTGTAATGCAAGATTCATGTGTTCATCTATGAGTGATCGGTCATAAACAAAGCTGGAAATGGAAAGCAGATTAATTGCGTAACATAAAATTGAATATCAATTACAAGAAAGAAATAAATAACACTAGGAATTCATTGGTTCCATCTAACCCTAACTGATATGCCTCCAGCATATATATAAATCTAGGCCAAAAAGAGAAAGAATATTGATTAATCTTGAATAAAAAGGCAATATTTACTGTTGATTTGTTAAAATATCAATCAAAGATTGTACAACTGATTTTCTTTAGATTTTGTAGGAAAAACAGGACAATAAGGAGCCAAGTTTGGAAGTGAGAAATCGAAGTCCCACGCTACTAGTGTGAAACTCACGCTAGTAGCGCCAGAAGCAAAAATCAGCCGGAGACATCCACGCTCACAGCGTGAAACTCAAGCTAGTTGCGCCACAACCCACGCTCACAGCGTGGGAACCACGCTAGTTGCGTGGGCTTCCAGAATTGTGAACAAAACTCTCATGCTATCAGCGTGGGAATCACGCTAGTAGCGTGGGAGGTGCGGACAATCAGCATTAAATCTTTTTCTGCATCAGCGGAAGATTAGACAGAGATTTACGACAAAGATTCAATAAATATTTCTACACAAGGTCATAAACTCTATAAATAGAGACTCAGACCTAAGAGAAAAATATATTTGGCTGGAGAGAATTCTTGGAGGCTCACGCTGGAGATCAGGATTCCGACGGAGTTGAAGACCGAAGATCATTGATTCTTCTACTTCTTCTTCTTCTTTATTGCTTTTATGAATTCTTTTTATTTTAATTTGTTAAAGCCAGCTATGTCTAGCTAGTTTTTTTTTGTAGTTGGGATCACAGACCCAATGTGAATCCTTTATAATTTTTGTATTGATATTTTATAAGTTAATTAGTTAGTTTGTTTTATTCTACTTGGTTTAATTTTTCATATCCTGTTTAGAACTTATCACTCTAAATTATAGGGCTTTGAGGGTTAGGACTCACAATAGACATATTGGGGTTTTAGTCTAAACAAGGATAGAATAACAATTTGTGTATGATCTAGACATAGACTTACATAAATTGCAGACTCATAATTCATTTGCTTAATGTTTAACTCAAAAGGATTACTAAGACATTAGAATTCTGATTGGGTTAAAGGGTTAAAATCACTAAGACATTAGGGTTCAACTATTTTATAGGAAAATAATGCTGAATAAACGAATTAATTGATTATAAAATACAATATAGGAATATAAGGGAGGAACGAAGGTGAAATGTATCCTAGCTACATACTTTTTATAAATTTTTCATCAATATTTTCTCGCATTCTTGATCTCTTCTTGCATGCGTTCAACCTTAATTGTTTTTAATTTTCAGTTTTAAATTTAATTATTTTTAAATTCTGTTTTGAATTTCTAAATTCAATTCCTTTCACAACTCAACCAATTTTATTTTTCAACTTAAGGGGAATAGTTAAACTAGTACTTGGTGCATTAATCCACGTGAGAACGATACTCTACTTATCACTTTATTACTTGAAACGAATGGTATACTTGCCGATTTAGCAACACTAACTACAAAAAAATAGCCTGACATAGTTAGGGAAACTAATAAAACAGATAAGAAACTAATGAAAAACATAAAAAGAACACATAAACTGGTCTCCACATTGAAACTTTGATCGTTCTTTTGCCTTCTAAGGTCCATAACAGAGCTCATCTGCCTCCCTTCACTTCTCTGCCGCCAAAGAATGAATTCTAAAACCCTAATTCGTCCTCTCTTTAACAATTTGATCCATAGGACTTTATTTATGATGCTACTCCCTGCTTTGCTCCCAATAGAGAGTAAACTAGCGAGTTTAAGATGAAAAATAGGTGTTGCTTACTATTTCACTCGCTATAGCGAGTTTTTTAGCATGTAAATGTGTCTTTGATCGCTGGTTTTGTATTTTGGGCACAACTTGGGCTATACTCGTCCAATTGATGTGATCTTGATCTTGTTAGAAAAATAAAAGAGAGATCTACAACTTCAATGAAGAACGCGAGACCCAAATCTACCTCTTAGATACTAAAAATTGGCTGAAAGATAGCTTTAACAAGATTATTACTAAATCATTGCTCCTCATTTATTGTTTTAAGTCCTTCTAATTAACACATTGCTTCAATACTCTGATTTAATAATTTAAACCTGAAATCAATATATTTTTAAGTCAGAATCATGTCAGATCATGAAAACTACAAATTCTTTTGTATTTGATAATATATAGCATTCTTATCATACTTTTGCATCTAAAAATATAACATGTTTGACACTTAACAATCAGCAATTGGATTATGCCATTATCACCTACGTACAAGTGACACTAGTTGAGTAATGATAAACCAATGAATAACAAAAAAAAAGGAAAAAAAATTACACCATTATCAGTGGCACAATTTGGTTTGTTTATACTTAAAAAAAAACAAAAAAAAACCCTAAAATAAATATGATATATTAATACCGAAAACAATATGTAATATCTATATATTCACTCACTTCGAACATTAAATAATAAAAAAATTCATATAATTATAATTATTAATTACTATATTTATAAATCTCGGTCAATATTAGCAATTAATTAAGTTTCAAAAAATTCATTGATGAAAAAATGTATAGTTATTATTTTTACCAAATAAATTAATATATTAATTATTACCATTACAATTACTAATTAATCGTATAAATCAATTGATGAAAATTTTGTAAAAATCAATTATAATCAGTTAATAGTTTTATACAAAATTTTCATTAATAGATTTACAAAATATTTCTATTGACCATTGATTAATTATAAGTATTAATTGAGAATTACTAATATAGTAATTAATAATTTTAAAAACATATTGATTAATAATTTCAATTATTTAGTTTTTGAATTGAATTACGATAGGATAAGGGTATTTTATAGGAAGGACTCATTGACTCGCTCGGGTCTATTACATAACTTATCTATTGACTTAGTGCCTGTTTGGATCCTCTTTTTTTTAAGCTAGAAGCTACTTATAAGCATAAGCTAGGTCAAATAGGTTTTGGGAAAAACTCTTATAACGAAAAGCTCTTTTTTTTATAATAAAGAAAAAAACTGAAAACTAAAAGCTCATAGGAGGAGCTTTTTTTTAAGCTCTTATCTGTTTTTCTTGAATTGTGTGCTTTTTTTAAAATGAAGAGTGATAAAGATAGAGAGAGATAATTTTCTTGAAATATGTGCTTTTAAGTAATTCTTAAGCTAAAAACATTTATGTAATTTCCAAACAGCTTTTATCTTCTTTTTTTAAGCTCTTTTTTTTAGCTTTAACTTATAAGTAGCTTCTAGCTTAAAAATAAGAAGATTCAAACAGGCTCTTACTCATATCGGTTGTATCACCGGTTTTCGAATTGGGAAAAATGTTTATCCTTTTAAATGATACAACTTATATCCTTTCACTCTCACAAAGAGATGAGACTCACAACTTTATTTTTTTTTTGTCAACTCTCTCTCCTCCTTTATCTTATCTATCTCTTTCTCTCTCTCAAAATGACACAACTTTACATTCTTTAAAATGACACATAATTTACCATTTCGAGTTAATCCCACAGGGAAGGACAATATAGATATTTTTAATTTATTTAAAAAAAAAGGCATGGCTCAACCTATACCCTTTTTATTCAAATTAAATGCAAAATAAAATAAAGAAAAAAGAAAAAATGGTGCTGTTAGGACATACGGCTTTGACCACCCCGTTGGAAATAATTTTTCCAATCACCCCATTTTGATGATTAATTGGTGCTTTGATTCTAAACGGGTCAAACAGTCATCGAGTCATGCCCATACAAGAATAAAATTTCACTATTGGCTAATATTTATATATTAAATTAAAAACAATGTGCCTTTAACAATAAAAATAGTGTTTAAATGAGTCATGTTTTTTAAATTAGTTAGTAAGTAATGCACTAAATCCATAATAATCCCACAGGAGTACGAGAAAGTAGAAACAAGTAACAACACAGGAAGACACGAGCATGTAACAAAGGGCCTTCAAATGTTCGACAAATAAGTTCATAAGGAAAGAATCGTGAGGCATGATCAAATCAAAACATAAAAAATTCCTTTCGGATATTTATTTTTTATTTGACTTTCTTTTTTGCAAATTATTTGTCTATGATGTGTTTTTAGTGTAAAAAATCTAAAATATGTTTTACTCATTTAGTGTAAAAATTTCCTTTCGGAAATTTAATTGAGTATTTTGAATTATTAACACCACATAAAAAGGTGTTTAAGACTTTTATTGAAAAAATTTGAATGTAATTTTTATTTTCATAATCATCATTCAGCATAAACAATTTCTCTTTTCAATTTTAATTTTTTCCTTGGCTCAATTTATATGTGTTTGGCAATAAATATTATTTTAAAAAAAAATAATATAATAGATCAAACATGCCCCAAAGTTTTTAATTTTAATTTTTCATTAAGTGTTTTAAATTTCAATCACATCTTATTACATCACTAGGTTTCAGTGGTGTAGCCACATCCAAGCCAAGAGGTGTCTTGGCACCTGCTTGTTTTATTTTTTATTTTTTACTTATTATATATTAATTATAATTAACTAAGGTAAAAATTATAATTTGGCACCACCTAAATAGAAAATTAAATACTTAATACAAAGTAACAACAAATCATCTACATGCAAACAAAAAAAAGGAACATGTATAGTATGGTTATTTTTGTGTTTTACCTTTTTTTAATGGGTAAATGTTTTTTTCCGGTCAATGAAGACAAGTTATCTCCGGAGAGCCCAAAATGATGTTGTTTTGGGACGAAAATCAATATATTTTTATAATTATAATATATTGTAGGGTTATATTAGTATTTATCATTATAATTTTTTAATCTTAAAACTCCAAAACGACGTCATTTTGAGCTCATTGGAGATAATTTTGTCTCCGATAACTGGAGAAATACTTTTCCCTTTTTTTATTTTTTTATCCTGTATATTTTTTTTATGCTTTATTCTAATCAGTTATGTTATTTATTCTTACTCCTATTATTTTAAAAAAGAAAGACTTCTAAACTTAATCACAAAAATGATTAGTTGATCTGTTTCAAAATATGGGCCCAGTTAAACCAAATAAACACATTTAAAAGTAGGAAAAAGGGTGTGTCCTTTTAAAGGATACAAGATTGTACCCTTTTAATTTTTGACACTATATCTTACCTGTAAAACATAGTTATAATATAAAAATTTTTTTTTTTTATATTTCCTCAGTCACTTCAGCTGACGTGAAAAGAGAAAAAAAAAAAAAAACTATTTTTCATGTTATAACTATGTCTTGCCGGTAAGACATAGTGTTAAAAACTATAAGGACACAATTTGTGTCCTTCAAAATAACAAACATTTAACCCTTGAAAGTAACAATCATGAAACCAAACGAATAACAGGACTATAATTATGGAATATGGAGGTCCATTGAACTATTATGTTTTGGGTTATTGCACACAAAGAATAGTCAAAAACATAATTCCCAAACGCGGGAACTTTCCTTCGTGTATATAATTATATAAATAATTATAATTAGGCCCTAGCTAAAATCATAAGTTGACCCTAGCTAAAATTGTAACAGTGATAACGAATGAAGATATGGAGCTGCTTTTCGTGTATGACTATATAACATATTTCTTTCTTCTTGATTTCTTCTTCTTCTTCTTTCATCTTTTTCCAATTGAGGTTTTCTTCTAACTTTTTTTTCTTATTTGTACTCACCACCCGGAACCCAGCCATTCTGCGACAAGGCACGATGTTTCGTTCCTTTCTTCAAGATTTTACGGATACCTGTTCTTCGAATATGCATTGGTAATTATATTGTTTGTTGGCGAAAAAAATTGATTTATATTTTTGAATCTTATAAAAGTGATATTCTTTGTCTTTGCTGACCACAATTGTTTATTGGATGTTTCTAACATGAGTGAAATTCATGCCCCCTTTATTTTATTAACAACTTTTCTTTTGTGTTTGTAGTTATTGATTTTATTTCTTTTGAAAAATGGAGTGTTGTTTTACGTTTACCTTTTTTAAAAAAAAAATTATTTAACGTAGATCTACAGTTGCTATTGGTAATGGAATTGAATTGTTTATTGGTGTTATTGGTATTTTATTTCACAACAAGAATGTGAATTTTGGTTATTAATTAGTGAAACTGTTAAAGAGAAAAATCAATGAAGATATATGTATATATATGGAGTATGAAAATTTCTTATACATATCCATTAACAACTTCTTCTTTTTTGTATTTTTAAAATTTTTAAAATATCTAAACAATAATTAAATGATTTATGTGGATCCAATGTCATTTAAATAATTTTAGACATTTGTCGCTAATTATTCCATATTTCTTTTTAATTGTGAAGTTTGTTGTCCCTCTATGTTAATGTTCTTCACAGGTCACGACTAGGGGTATAAATGGGTCAAGTTAAGCCAAACTTTGACTTTGATAGCCTAAGTCTATGTAAAATATTTGGAACCTATACTGACCTATTAATCTATTAAATACTTTATTTATGGCCTGTCATATTATAAAAAACTAAAAAAACGGAATACGACTTGTAAGGCTTATCAAGTTGCAAACGAAAGTTTGTAGGTTCAAATCAAATTAAAATATAAAAAATAAAAAAATTCATTCACAAAGACCACATGAAATCAATTTTCATTAACATCACATGAAATAAGCTTTCATTAACATCACATGAAATAATGTTATCAAAGATCACATGAAAATGTGCATAAAAATCACATGAAAATTTCATATATGTCTATATAATTTGCACTTTCTTTACTAATTTTATTTTATATTAAATTCTTAATTTTAAATAAATAACTATTATTTGTTAAAATATATTACTTTGAAAATTTTAAGTAAATTTTTTTCCTAATAGATTTGTGTAATTATGAATTTTTTTATTTATAATTTGATATGTTAAAGTTTTTTTGATCCCGACTAAAATTAAATCCTGACTCCGCCACTGTTAAGTCTTATGACAATTATTATGGATAAAACAAGTATGATAAGATTAATAGAAAGTGAAGAATACTAAATAATTGACATAAAAACGAGTCATTGAATGCAAGAGAAAATCATCTTACCAAGGAAAGTGAAATACTCAAGTTAGTCCATAATATCAATGCAAAGATTCTTTACCTATTATTGTTCCGCGATCCCTTCCAAAATGGACTAGATATTACTATTGTGAAGTTACGTTCTTTAAACATTAACCATAACCTTGGTGCTAATTGAAGGCAATAATTGCCAAGAACGGAAAAATTACTAAAAATCTGAGGTATGCCAAGGTTGTGTCAAGCTTTAAAAACTACCTTTTGGAAATTTGTACTGAACTTTGGTCAATTAATCTATGACATTTGACTTATTGTCATCAAGCATACATGATGTATGCATGGTTTTCTAATGACAAATTAGGTTCTAATCTTGAATGTCCAAGACACTAAAACAAGGTAATCAAGAATAACCATCAACTTTGGCCCAACATGGGTAAGAAAAAGGAAAAGCAAGCAAAAGAGCTAAAGTATAAAGATAGGAAGCAGATGAGTGATGCAGGAAAGGGTAGCTACTCACTACCCTTTTCAATAACCTGATTACACCTTCTCACCTAAGCTAACATACCAAAACTTCCTAATTCCCAAAATGGCTATTGCGACATGGTTATAATATGAGAAGCAAAAGGGTATAACTGTAAATAAACAATGGATGGTCTTCATTAAAAAAAGGAAAAAAAAAAACCAAATGAAAATGTGAAGTCTCACATACATTCATTCACAGGAACATAGAAGCATAGAAAGCAAAAGAAAAACAGAGAGAAAAAAGTGGAGGGTTGTGGAAGAGAGTATTGTGATTTGAAAAAGGCCACAACACACAACACCACAAATAGAACAAGTCTACTCTCCCTCCCATCTCCGAAACAAAAGCTTCATATTTTGGTCACCTTCTCTTATAATCACACAATTTCTCAGTACAAAGAAAGAAGATTTGATAAAAAGAAAAAAAGAAACTTTAGGTGGCAAAAACAGAAAAAAGGAAAACGTTTGATGATTTTTGAAGCAAAGTTGAAGTTTTTGGTGAATTGTGAATAGATCAGTGGGTGATGTCGTGTTCTTCTTCATCTGGGTCTGAAGAAGACGATGAGGGGTTCGACTCCTACCGGAAAGGAGGGTACCACGCCGTCAGGGTCGGCGATCAGTTCGCCGGAGGAAGGTACATAGCGCAGAGGAAGCTGGGTTGGGGTCAGTTTTCCACTGTGTGGCTTGCTTATGATACTAGCACCTCTGTATGTTTGATCCTCTCTCTTCTCTTTATCATTTGTGTTCTGTGCTTCTCTCCTTTCTTTCTTTTTTCTTTTTTTGTTTTTCCTTCAAATGGGGTTGTTTATAATTGCCCCCACTTTTTCTTTTTGTCTATTTTAAATTGGGATTGATTTGATCTGTAATTTTAAATTGGCATTGATTTGATCAGTGGAGTTGTAAAATTTTGTGCTAGTTGTGTATTTTTTTGTTCAAGTTTGTCTGCTTTATATGTTGTGCTGGTTACAAGGTTTTACTTGAGTTTTAATATGTCAAAGAAAGTTTTTATATATTTTTTCTGGTGCTTCTCTCTGTCGTTTAATATCTTATGGTTTTCCTTTATGCAATAGAAACAATGGGTTATTGGGTCTTATTTGTGTGTATATATGTTGTCGTTTTCTGTTTGAAGGGGGTCATTTCATTGAATGGATCGAATTGGGATTATTCGAATCATGTGTAGATGGACAATCCTGTTTTCTTTCCAAGCCATTACCACCTTCTGGTGGTATATGTATTTTTCTACTTGTGTCACGAATACATAACAAACCTTGCATGTTGGAATGGCAAAATTGGTGAATGATCATCATAAAATGTGACTACCTAGTTTACATGAATTTGTCTGTTTGCTTAGGATTAATAAATGTGTGTACAGCTCTTTTGTTTTTAATAGGTTGATGCTGATTTGGTAAGTTTGTGTACTATGCTCCTTTATAACGGTGAAACTTGTTGTCTTTTGTGTGTGTATATATAATATTTAGTGAGCTCCAATGTCGTTCTGAATTTCAATGCTAATTCAGCAGAGCTGAATGTTACGATTGAATCACTTGTAGGATCTGGCTAGATGCTTAAATTTAGAAAAGAAAAGGGGGAAACAAAAAATAGCTTCCCATGAAACCCTGACTTGCGGGGTTAGGATGAGAATATCCTTATTACCTTATATATAGCCTTATCCTTGCTATTTTTGCAAAGAGGATGTTTCCTGAATCCAAACATGTGATGTTTCAATCCCAAAGAAGCTTAATGTACATAGCATCTATGAAGCACCGACACTTCAAAAACTCTAACGTGTCGTGTCCGACACTTCCCGACACTCTCCTACACTCCGACACTCTCCGACACTCCAACACGCGTTATAGAAATTCAAAAAAATGTTTAAAAGTTGCGTTGCGTTGAGTTTTTAGTTCCAACTATTAGATTCGTTGGATTACGATTACCATTTTATTGAGTTTAATATAAATATGTGGGATATCTTATGTTTCTTTGCAAAATTGATGAATATTATAAGTTTAATTTTATTTTTTTGTTAAATTATTGAATATTAAATATAATAAACACTACATAAATTAAAAAAATTATTTAGTATCAAAACGTGTCCTAACGTATCGAAATCTAACATTTTTTAGAATTAACGTGTCGAAGTGTCGTGTCGTATCGTGTCACGTGTCCCGTGTCAGTATCGGTGCTACATAGCATAGCATACACATTTTATGTTGATCCAGGCGAGGTACACTTTCCCTCAGGCAATTATTGGAACTAGGTTCAAGTATTATCCTTCCTTCACCTAATTTGTTCATGTACCTATGCCTAATTCAAAAGTTATAAAGGTCTACTTTTGTTATCATTGATTTTGCTCCCAGACAATGATAACTTTCTTATTATTTTGGTGCAGCAGTATTTTATTTTATTTTTTATAAATATCTTTCCTAATTTGAAGTTTGTGATTTTCAGGCATATGTTGCTCTCAAGATCCAGAAAAGTGCAGCACAATTTGCCCAGGCTGCCCTTCATGAGATGGATGTTCTTTCATCCATTGCTGATGGTGCCCCTTTGAATTCGAAGTTTGTTGTCCAATTGATTGACCACTTTAAGCACACAGGCCCTAATGGCCAGCACCTTTGCATGGTCCTTGAGTTTCTTGGAGATAGCTTGCTTCGACTAATCAAATATAACCATTACAAAGGCCTTCCATTGAATAAAGTTAGGGAGATGTGCAAATGCATTTTGATTGGTTTGGATTACTTACATAGAGAACATGGTATTATCCACACGGACCTAAAACCAGAAAATGTTCTTCTAGTTTCTACCATTGATCCTGGAAAGGACCCTGTTAGATCTGGACTCACCCCAATTTTAGAGAGGCCTGAGGGAAACATAAATGGTGGAGTTTCAAGTCTTGTTGAGAAAAAGTTGAAAAGGAGAGCAAGGAGGGCAGTTGCTAAAATATCTGGAAAAACAGCTTCATTTGGAGGAACAGGAGAAGCTCCAAAGACTGATAGAAATATCGATGGGATTGATGTGAGATGCAAAGTGGTAGATTTTGGAAACGCATGTTGGGCTGATAAGCAATTTGCAGAAGAAATTCAGACAAGACAGTACAGAGCTCCTGAAGTAATATTGCAGGCTGGTTATTCCTTCTCAGTAGACATGTGGTCTTTTGCTTGTATTGCTTTTGAGCTTGCCACAGGTGATATGTTGTTTACTCCCAAGGATGGAGAAGGTTTTTCTGAGGATGAGGTATGATGGTTTTGCTTGTACACTATTGTGATTTAAATTATGTTCCTTATCTTATGCATTGTTCTATTTATAATAATTGTTAGACCATAGATTGTTTACCCTATATTTCGTTGCCATTACTTCAAGGAATAACTAAGTATGTATCATATTATTTAATTATTTGTGTAATGAACTCTGAGAGTTTTTATACCAAAGAAAAAGCTTCTTGAAGAACTTCAAACTGTTATCTATGGACTTCAAACTAGAGGAACCTTATGGTAAAACTTTTTCTGAAGTGATATAGTAGATGTTATTAGATCATCTTTTTTTTTTTTTTAAAAAAAAAAAAGTTGAGTTGTTAATTTTTTCCTTTAATATTTATAACTATCATAAATGCACTTACAATAGTTATTATAACATCATTGTGGAATATGTGAGTAAAGTTAATCGGATAATAAGAGATCAATACAAGAAGATACTCGAGAATAGAATTCATTGATGCCAGATGTGTTACCATTTCATTTGATGTCAAGTTGACATATATTTCTACATTTTCTGCATTACTAAAGCATTTTTCATTTGATTTCAGAACATAGTTTTGATTTTTTTTTTTTTGGGATAAACCACATAGTTTTGATTTGAATTAGTATAATATCTCTCAAATGCCAGGGCTATTTTATATCCTTCTGTTGCTGGTTCCTGGTTCCATATGACTGAAAGGGATATGAATTATGATGTGTGATCCATGGATGTGTGGATGATCATATAATATTACAGAATCTATCTAAATTTTCACATTTTTCTATATATATATATGTGTGTGTGTGTGTGTGATTCTTTCACAACCCTTGCGAGTGAAGAACTAACAAATATGTGCTCTGGATAATTCCTGGATGGGTATTTTGTTTCTAAAATTGAGTTTCTATTGTTATATAGGATGAAATTCTGAGTTTCATGCTTTCCATCAGTGATGGAACCCAGAAAAATATAACACTGATTCAAATCAAAAATATAACACTGAAATTCTGAGTTTCATGCTTTCGTCACTCTAAGTCATAGTTTCTGATGGAACCCAGAAAAATATAACACTGATTTCTTTAACAATAGAGGAGGCATAGCCTCTTTTTGCATACACTAATACTAAGATAAAATGCAGAAAATAAATCCCAAGAGACCTCAACTCCCAAAGATCTCCAAATTTCCCCACTAACCAATTCTGAATTCATGCATACCTACACTTACACACACAGCCTACCTTTTATCCAATATTTTAGAATAGTTTTCATATCAAACTTAACAAACTGACTAATTCACTAACTTTTAGGCCCGTGGCCGATCAGTTTCCTTCATGAATTCTTCTATTTTTCGATGATCACGTTGAAATATTTTTATCTAGATTTAGATGTTTGCACTATGATTTTCATTGAATTGATAAGTAATATATAATTACAATTACTGGTGTTGGAATATTCTTTGATTTGTTCATCCAAAAAGTGGTAAAAGAAATTATTCTTTTGTTATTCCCGTAACTGGTTAAGGATTAGGATACATCAGTTGTGATTGCTAAGACTTGGTGAACACAAGTCTCTACACCTCAGATTCCGATAAAACTTTGTGTTGTGTTTGGTTTCAGGATCACCTTGCCCTGATGATGGAACTCCTCGGAAAGATGCCTCGGAAGGTTACTTTTTCTGTCTCTGCATATTATTTGAATAGCTATTCTGGCAAATCTAATAGTTGCATGTTGCAGATTGCTATTGCTGGAGCAAAATCCAAGGATTTCTTTGACAGACATGGGGATCTCAAAAGAATTCGAAGGCTAAAATTTTGGCCACTTAACAAACTGTTGATTGATAGATATAAATTTTCGGAGAGTGATGCTCACGAGTTATCAGAGTTTATTTTGCCACTTCTTGATTTTGCACCTGAGAATCGACCAACTGCACAGCAGTGCCTGCAACACCCATGGCTTAAGGGTAAGGAGACTCCAAATGAAATGAAAAATGAGTCTAGTGTGGAATAGGTGGATATTGGAATGAGCAACCTTAAAATCAAGGTGGGGAAGTGAAGGGAAGAAAGGTATTTGACAGTCACCCTCAAAGACCCCTCCTTCCACATGAATGACTATTGATTGTGATTTATTTTTGGCTTGATCATGTTTAATAAGATTTATTTTTTTATTGGATTAACTACTACAAATATGTAAATTAGTAAAGAATTTTATTCATCCAAAGATATCTGATAAAGAAAAAATTGTGTGTATATTCTCCATATGATTTTAAGTGATGATGGCATTCAACCAAGTCAAGTCTTAAGTTTTTCTCCCCAATGAAGTGACAAAGATTGGAGAAATTAACTTTTTTTTTTTTTGTTTTTTAATGCTAATGTGAGTAATGTTACTGGTGGGTTATCCACTGATCTTTTTTCCTTTTTGATTTGAGAATGTAAGCATTTTGTAACCAACATCTAACAACCAAGTTATCTTTGTCAAGGTAGTAAAGACTAAAGACTCAACACTTTTAGATGGGCTGCGTCAATTTTTAAAGCAGTGTTTTAGTGTGTATGTGGATAAGATTTGGTAAACTCGAAATTAGGAAAACTAGATGTTAGAAATTGATTTTGGGTAAAAGTGATTTTACAGGTCAGTGATTTATGTTTAGTTAAAAAAATCATATTTAAAGCTGAAGCAGCATTTTCTACGTTCAACGCCAATAGAGATTTGGGAGAAGATGAAAGGTGTCATAGGAAAAAAATTAATAATAATAACAATAAAATAATGAAACACCATTGGTTGGTTTTAAGTTACTGTTTGGTAGAAGGATCTTATTTGGAATCTTGGGAAAATGGGGTGGGAAAAATTATTTTCCCACATTTGGTAGGAGGAAACATAAAAATATTCCCAGGAAAAAATTTTCCCCCAACATTTGATTTTACACTACAGATTTCAGAGGAAGAATACCATCTTAACCATGGTATTTTTTTTCCCCACTGCTTGGGAAATGAGTTTAACTTATGTCAAGCGAAAATGCCCTGTGGAGGGTAGCATTCCAGCGAATCAATACTGATGAAGAAATTGAATTATTGTTGATCCCCATATGTTGCACGGTCTCACCCCATTCAGCATTTGGGAAAGAATGGAAGTCTGCGTTAGGGGATGAAACTCTAATTGTGGTGTTGAATACGAAATCCTGCGAACAGAGCAGAGCAATTGCCTTCATTTCTAAACTCAAGCACAGTGTAGAAATGGTCAAAATGGAAGGATTTGAACCTAGGGAAACCTGCAGAAATGGCTAGCTTAATGAACTGTTCTTCAGTTCTGTGCTTTCCCTTGGCTCTGTAGATTGTCGTTGGGGGTAATGAAGCCAACAAAAAAAATGAGCACAGTAAGAGAGAGACAAAGCTCAGGTAAAATGAACATTGGAAAAAAATTCAATATTCAAAATCGAGGGTAATTTTGTAATTTCGGTCCAGATTCCCAGCAATATTTTACAACAAACTAAACATAGTATCAGAAAAATTAACCCAACATTCCCGGAAAAAAATTTCCTTTACAAACAACTTTTTAGTAACATTTTCAGGAAAATAAATTTCCCACCATATCTTGAAAATTATGATTCCCGGGTAAAAAAATTTTTCTACTCTACCAAACACCCCCTAAATGTTAGCCAATGCCCTGTGAGAAAACGTTCTTATAAGTGGAGGAGTAATATTGCTTGTGTACACTCATGACTCTCACATACTCTATTTTTCAATTTCCGTTAATTCATATTTACTTTAACAACAGTTTAGATTTTGTACATGTTCTGTCCTAGGGATAGATATGTCTAGTCTAGTGACTAGTATGTCAATATTGGATTTGAATGCCCTCTGTTAGTATAATAACCCTCACATGTAGTGTTGGATTTAATTATGAATTAAGGATTTTAATATGATATTGAAGAATAATTATAAGGAAAGTAAAAGAAAAATAAATAAAGTCACCTTTGGTGAAAAATGAGTTAAAGTGACAGTTAAGGAGTAAAAATGCGAGTAAATAAAGTTACCTGAAAGTGAAAAGTAAAATGGTAAATATTACCATAAAAATATTGTGAACCAATATGTAAAGTTAGAATGAGAGTTAAGTGAGCGGGATAGATAAACTTTTACACACTTGGTTAGTGAGTCACTTAAGTGCTTGAAGCTTCCTATTTCTCTTAATCTTCTATGCGCAGCAAAGTCGACAGACGAGAAAACAAAGAAAATGGGGTTTTGAGAAAATTCTTCAAAAATTTATTGAGAGAGCTAGAGACCTCCAATCCACTTGGTTCCAAACCCAAAAGTGTGTCAAATCCTCTCATCTTCAAAGCCAAACCATCAATTTCAAGTGGGGAGCTGTGTGGAGTGAGATACCACCCCTCTACCATTTCGAGTTTTGAAGAATTTGAGTGATTTTAGGGTGTTTCAACCATAGGAAGCTTGGAAAACTCTCCCCCCTCATCCTAGTATCAATTGTGGTAAGAAATCTCTACTCTAATCAAGTTTTTATATATTTTATGGATATTAGGTTTTCATGTGAATAGTAACTCAAAAATGGGAATCTTTGAGGAAATATTGATGTGTTGTCTTGTTGTTTCTTTGATGTTTATGGCATAAGATTGAGCAAGGAGACCCAATAATTGAGGAGGATCCATTGGATGCTCCATTAGATTGAGAAACATATTTTTCTCTAAATTTTCAAAGAGGGTAAGTGAACAATATTGAGATAATAAATGGTATGAGTAGTTGGAGGGTGATTTGTAGGTGAGTCCTTTTGTTAAATATGCTTGGGATTGGTTCCCGTAAAAGGAAAAATTATTAAATCGCCATTTAGGACACTTTGATAAATTGGACTAAAAATCAAGTGTAAGTTTCTTGTATGTGTAGTCTTGAAAATTAAATGTGGTAGACTGGTATATAGAAATACTGATTGTCTTCACATCTTGGAACTAGGTTGTGACTTTGTGAGAGATCGTGACTCTATCGACACGAGAAATATCGGAGGACACTGCTTGCCAGGTAAGCTTTCGGTCCTTGGGGTTAATCCCCCGTTTGTTCCAACAGACTCTGAGGGAGGATGATAGTTTGATATGGTATGTGAAAATGATGTTATATGTTGCATGTATATGTATGTATGTTTGTGTGCCACACAAGAGGGTGTTTCCTTGTGTGAGGCATAAGACGGTGTTTCCTTATGCATAGTATGAGACGGTGTTTCCTCATACGGTATGTTGCAAGACGGTGTTTCCTTGCGTAATGCATACTTGTTATATTCTCTGGCCAGTAGGATTACATTATTGCACACTGCATTGTCATACATATTCTGATGCATACATGGATATTTTATGTACTGTGATTATACCAGAAGTGAGCTTAAGGGTGGAGGAGCCCTCCAAGGGTCCCTAGCTTACTGAGGTAATTATATTATCTCACCCCGTGTTATGGGGATCACCATTTCAGGTACATGAGCTGATGGTGCTGAGGCATCGCGTGGCAAGAGGCCAGATGAGAGATACTACTTGTCGTGATTGTCAGGGTCTTGTGGATATTAGATTTGTACCTGGCGTACTTTATTTTGAGTTGTATATGCCATGTATATTTTTGAGAGCATAGGAGATGTCTATGCCATGTCGATAGTCTGTATATGTTGTTAGTTATGCATGCTCCGGTCTATGTTACTTATTTAATTGCATCTCTTTTGTTTATTTGATGTAATTATATAAGTAACATCATGGACATTATTTTGAAACAGTATGATTATGAGATAGCCTATGCCATGGATGGCTGGGTAATATGATTTATGTCTGGATTATATTTAACTATTAATTAGGATGAAATTATCATAGTGGGAATTATCCACAGTAATCCAAAATACAGAGGAAATGCTATCCATTTTATTTTGACCATGGAAGTAAAAAGGTTTGCAATACATAAGGATAAAGAGAAAATTATTCAGTTAGCTTCTACATTAATTAAGTTAAGCATGTTGCGCTTACTATCATATGAATGTTAATTAACTGGTTGTAGACGAGGCGTTACAGTTAGATACCTATAGGGGAGGTACCTTAGAGAATAGCGGATCACTGTGCACTATAATAACAATAATAACAACAGCATAGCCAAGGGGTAGGGTGTGTGCACAATGACCACTAAGAGATAGAGGGTTTAAAATATGTATACCTTATTGGCTTAACCCCTTTATTTATAGATGGGTTACATGATAGGAGTGGACTTTTGGGCCTCTTAGAAATATTGGGGGTCTAGTTGTTGATTCATTGTTGTCGTAATGAGATTAGTATAATTAAGTAATATTTCATTAATTCCTTCTTAGCTGTTAGCCCTTTTTGGGCGTTCTAGAATGTGGACCTTTGTCAGGTCCATAACAATTGCCCTCCAACCCTGTAGTCTGGGTGTCCAGGCTGCCGAGTGTATATTATGTTTTATCTGCAACTTAGGATCCCAGATTGAATTCCAAGCTATAGCTTTGACTGGTCGGGTATCTAAGTTTTTATTGCCTGCTACTGGCTTCACTGTGACATCTTCATTTTTATTTGCCTTTGACTATTAATGCTGCTATCTTAGCCCCATTGACTTCATCGTTTCTTGCTCATAGCAGAGTTTTGAATTATATTGCATGGGGGTGAAACTCGGCCAGGTTCTTGGTTAGAGCTTTGTTAACCTTTAATCCATGGCGTATAGTTTCAGCCATCTAGTTGTGTTGAACTTTGGTGCCGGACTTAGTGAGGCGGGTATTGAGTATATTGTTTTAGTTTTTCTCCCTCAATCTTTTTGGCCGAGGAACAACTTGAGATTGACTGATCTTTCTTCAGATTGCCTTGCCGAGATCTCAACTTATGAAGGTTGTTGCTTTTCCTTATTCTATTTTAACGATTGCATTCTTGCACTTGCCCCTCAGTCCGGCAGTCTGGAAGTCCGAGCTGTTAGGCTACCATGTTATTATATTCCAGTAATGTCTGGGCCCTTTTTGTTTGAAGACTTCTATTGATATGGCAATATCTGAGTTTATTTCGAGATTTAATCCCCTGTGCAGGTGGTCCATATTGCCCCGCAGCCCAGTAGTCTAGATGTCTGGGATGTGGGGGTGTAATAGTTGTCTGGAAATCCTCTTAAACCTCGCTCTGGATTTTATTCTTTATGTATACACTTGTTCATGCTTGAGGGATTTTTGAGAGATTTTCTCTTTGTGGTTCATCATCCAAATTTTATCTCGGCCTCTGAAT